ACGAATGACATAATCTGAGGAAAAACTAGAAATCAATACACCCTGTCATTTCAGTGGGTCTAAAACTAACCGTATGCTGAAAGAAAGGAAACTAAAGCGGTTGCTTCAATTAATTTGCACAAGGGTGTAGTTGCACGTGACATTCAATCGCAGACTTTGAAAGGCAAAATTGTAAATTTTAGCTTTTATTCCGGTTCGAACATCAGTCAAGTCAGTTATTGATATATAAGTTTATCCTAGTCAGACACAAGGCCAGATAAGAGAGAAAAAAGATTAAGAAATTATGTTAGGTTAAAGTTCAAAAAGTAGAAGAAATACATCCATTGAAAGGTTAAATGGGAAATTCTAAATTGTATTTGGGTTCGAACACCGACCGTTGGCACTGATAAAAATTCGCCATCATCTTCGTCAACACTTAGGCCAAACTGTTGAAGAATTACTGGTTTGCAAAACATTCCCAGTGTTGAATCAATTACCTTTTTCCCCTTTTTTATTTTCAATATATCAATTCGCTCAGCAATTCGATATTTTACATAAAAGAAAATCGAAATGAATTTTCAACCAGAAGGGAAAGAATTAAATAGCGAAAAAGATAAATTGTATTCTTTTTATATACGGTCATAAATCTTTATTCCCTAACGGGGAAAAAATTATTTCTATCCAAATGATATTCACAAGACAAAAATCAATTCATAGTTTTACGATACATTAAACGTAATTCAATTTTCTCGTTCGTTGTTCCTGCTTCGTAAAAATGACAGCGTTTAAAAAGCGGGCGTGGAATCTAGGGGAAGGGATGTTTTAAACGTTATTGGATATTTTCAAGACTAAGAGCAACCTACTAGAGAACGACGTTACAAATATTGTGTGGGCCATTTCTTCATGAGAGCCAGAGACTGTCTTCATTAAAAAAAATCATCATTTGAGACACGGAATTTCTAACCGGTCTCGAATAATGTCAACTTAAAGAATATCCCAACCAAAGATCAGGAACAAAAATATGTTCTGATTCCAAGATTATCTATTTATTGTACGGATCTTACTTGCAGGAAGATAGCTTCAAAACTCTGTGTAAAAAATGGTTTAAGCTTTAAATTTAATTTTTAAAATTCTGTTTCACGTGTTGATCCCAACGAAAATTAGCATAAAACAAAAAACATATATACATATTGATACACAGATATGCTCACACACACTTATGGATACAATACGCACACAAACTTACACACATATAAACGTACATGCAAACAAAGATATATATATATACACACACAAACATATGGATACATCCATGAACACACAAACATATGTATATATGTCTATAATATAGATTTTGGACAGTTTTGACAGAAAAGAAATTACTTACATGAACGAAAAAAAAATTAAATAAAAACCTTAAACGCAGTACCTTATCTGTCAATTTAATGAAACTTTTTTAAAAGGACTGCTGACGAAAATACGATATATATATATATATATATATATATATATATATATATATATATATATATATATATATATATATATACAAGTATAGGATTAGTGTATACGGAATAAATTACAATAAGCAATAAATACTATTCTTAAAGAAGTGCTCAATACAGAGTAGAGCAAATATAATCATTTATTCGAAAAATATATATATATATAAACAAATCTTTTTATATCATATGGAGAATAGGCTATTTCGGCTGTTGACGAAAGCGGTTATCTGTCGTTTCAAACTCGATGTGGTCGAAAAAGACAGATGACCACTTTCGTCATCTGGTGAAAGAGCCTATTCTTCATATGATGTAAAAAGTATTTGTTTGATTATTAATTATATTTTATTATTAAATGCTCTGTATGAATAAAATACATCAAGCTCCTTTTTGTGAATCAGTCCTAATATTTTATATTGCTAGGATCCACTTGGATTATATGGCAATGGACTTTTTACCTTACTCTCTCTCCCCCCTCTCTCTCTCTCTCTCTCTTTCTATATATATATATATATATATATATATATATATATATATATTTATTCATTTAAAAATATGATTCAACACGCTACATAAAGGTTCTCATATTTCAAAACAAGAGCCGAAAACTTCAATATAAGTATTGAATTAAATTGAATTAAAAGTAAGCTCTGTTCCATCTTCAAGCGAAATTTTTTTGAATAACTTATTTCTGAAATTTACGTGTTTGAATAGCATATTCATATAATATATATATATATATATATATATATATATATATATATATATATATATATATATATATATATATGTTTAAATTTAAAACGTTTAAAATTTCAGGGTATCCTCCTATCTGTAAACATGTGTAGTTACATTAATTGAATTATCTATCAGTTTAGTCTGATTTCATCTTTAAGGACGAAACGTGTTCATCAATTTTTTTTCCAATTTGTCATTAATTTTTTCTAACATTGTTCTGGTATATACAAAATTATATATCATTTAAATTATATATATATATATATATATATATATATATATATATATATATATATATATATATATATAGAGAGAGAGAGAGAGAGATAGAGACAGAGAGAGTCCGTGTGAAAAAAATAGATTAATAGACTGTTTATTCATTAAACAGTATATTTATTTATATTCATCTGTTGCCTTGAAATTCCGAGAAATCTTAACGATTTGTGCTCTTCGGCGGGAATCGAACCTGCCTCTCTCAAAATTTCAGGCCCGTAGGTGAATAAATAAATATACTGTTTAATAAATGAATGGAGCATTTACTCAAATAAAATTATCAGCTAAAAATAACGTTTAAATTGATAAAATATAAGTCGGATTAATGAAAAAAATCCATTCTAAAATTCTCTTCGTTTACGTTTGTATACGAAACTGCGTGCAGATATGAAAAACTTTAGGTGGGCTGTGACGAGAAAAATTTAATTCCAAGGCATATATATATATATATATATATATATATATATATATATATAGAGAGAGAGAGAGAGAGAGAGAGTCCTTCGTCTGACAATAAACTCCATCCGTCGGCCAAATCTCTGATCGGAAGAATGGAGGTTTTGAAGACCGTCCAATCACCTTTTAATTGCTGTTGTTCCCAGCCATAGGCAAATAGTGAACCGCCAAAACAAAATACAATGAATGTATAAAGATACATTTTTATAGTAAAGTGACCAACAATACACTACATTATTCGGACTATTATCCTGATCTTTGTCGCCATAGTTATTACAACGTTTCGGCCGTTGTACCCTCCTTCGAACTGAAACCTTTATTTCGCTCACTGGGGTAAACTGTTCTAGTTCCACGTGCCATGTTTAATGGATGCCAGTTATCTCCTGCTAATTCCCCTCTGAAAGTTCTCCATTGCCTTAACCGGGTATTGAACTCACAATCTTTGGGTCATGTCACTGGATCTAACTAACGCCTTTATCCAATGTGCCATGAGGACATCTATGTATGAATTTTTGGTTATTATAAATCTAATGCCTCAGCAACCAGTGCTCATATTGCAATTTTTACTGTTATCACATATTTTTACCAGAGCTCATATTGCAACTTTTGTTGTTATTATCACTTTTCTCTGGCACTACTTATTACTGGTTCCCATATTGTATTCATTTCTATGCTTGGTCGGCTCAGGAGATTTTTGTGGCCTAGCATATGTGCTGATTCCTTAAGTTTACGAATTTTCCAATGGTCTTCTTTGTCCATGATCTCAACCTGATCCCACAGAGGGCTGTGATCTCCCTTCTCTCCCCATATATGTGGTCAGTCACGCCTGATTTTTCCACTTCCTCTCGTGTTACAGCTTTCTGGTGTTCCTGAAGCCTTACCTTAAGGGGACGGCCTGTCTACCCTTTATATTTCTTTCCGCATTAGTCCGAAAAATGTGAATTGTGTACATAATGTCTCATCTCAGAAATATAGACAGATACTAACCAACGATACATATTTAAATCAAAATGTCCAACAAGACATTTTATCTGTAGCTGAAGGCAAACAATTGCCTTCAAAATATATTTAGTTGAATCCATAAAACTGTGTTCAAATTAATTAGACTTTGGTATTAAATATCCCATAGAAGTTGATAGAAGAGCCATATACGATAAAGTTCAGATGTTTGAGAGCCTCAAGACATGAACAAAATTTATACATGCATTTTTGTTACATACACATGTAAACCAATCTCATTGCCCCCGGCACACTCATATCTTTACCCCCCCACCTAATATATGACCTCAATCTTCTGATATTACTCTGTGACCCTTGTAGACCGGAAATTTCTTTAATCTCTCTGCCTCCCACTATTCCTCCCCTCAACTCTAAAGAACAACGCCTCACTCAGATCTAGCATTAAAATTAGGTTTTAAATTCTTAAATAATTTTACTAACCATGAACGTTAACCTTACGTTTGAATCCAATGGGGTCTCTCTTAATATCCGATGAATAATTATAATGCTTATTTACTTTTGATATTAACTGTGAGGAAAAACGAGTTCAGCCAACACATTTCCACGAGCCGCATTTCAAAGAGCCGTATTTCAAAGAGCCGCATTTCAAAGAGCCTCATGTAATTCGCGAGCCGTGGTTTGGCCAACACCTTATCTATTATTAATCTTTTGTCAATGCGGAATAACGTATATTTTTTATTACTCCAAAGCTTCCAATAAAATTAAATTTCTGCATTAAATGACCCATAAGGAGTTGATATGCCATTAAACAAACCAATCAAACGATCTATATGTATTTCATTAAGCATATCACCCCAAGCAAAGCGGGAGTGCCACTAGCACGTAAGGGCTTACAGAGAGTGAGAGAAAGAGTAAAGAGGGGGTGTTTGAGGGAAGGATATAGAGAAGGACGGGAATCATATGTCGATTGACATTACATTTGAATATCTGAAGATTATAGCTCAGGGAAGCAATTTAAGGCCAGAAAACCTAGAAAAGAAATCGATACAGAAAAACAGTTTTTCAAAAATGCAAACAGCCAAACTTTCCTACCTGCTTGCCGACACACTAAAAATATCTCCAGTCTGAAGATGTTGCACTCCAACCAGGGCTGTGTTGATATACAATTTCATTTTTTTACCCGTGTAAGAGGCAGCCACATGAACCCAGCGATTTGGCTCGTAAGTTCGATCTGACATTAATACAGACGGTGAATTGGCCCGATCGGTTTCCAAGGAAAAATATATTCGGGCGCCTTCCTCTTGTCCCTCTTCATATGTCCGTATTCCAATGTTCCAACCTTTGGCTTTGTGATCCTGATGGCACATGTCAAAAAGACCTAAAAAGGAAAAGAAATAAAAGATGTTGAACGTCAGGAGTGCATCTGGAACTGTTGCAGAAAAGCATCTGGAATATGTAGAAAGAGTCTGCAAGAATTTTGAAAAGGATCTCAAACATATTTGGAAAGGATCATATACGGAAAAGATACGAAGCCCGTTCGGAAATGATCTGTAATCATTTGGCAAGAATCTAGATCATGTTGAACGCGCTAAAACCATCTGGAATATGTAAGGAAAATATATGAAGCATGGTAGGAAAGGATCTTGAATTGGTTATAAGAACCGGGAACATGTACGTGAAGGATCTGAAGCATGTTTGGAAAGGATCTAGAAAATATTTGGAAAGGATCTGGAACGTATTTGGAAAGGATCTGGAACATGTTTGGAAAGGATCTGGAATATGTTTGGAAATGATAAGAAACATGTTTGGAAAGGATCTGAAACATGTTTGGAAAGGATCTTAAATATGTCAGGAAAGGGTCTGGAACATGTTCTGAAAGGATCTGGAATATATTTGGAAAGAATCTGAAACATATTTGGAAATGATCTGGAACATGTTTGGAAAGGATCAGGAACATGTTTGGAAAGGATCAGGAACATGTTTGGAAAGGATCAGGAACATGTTTGGAAATGCTCTGAAACATGTTTGGAAAGGATCTGGAATATGTTTGGAAAGGATCTGGAACATGTTTGGAAAGGATCTGGAATATGTTTGGAAATGCTCTGAAACATGTTTGGAAAGGATCTGGAACATGTTTGGAAAGGATCTGGAACATGTTTGGAAAAGATCTGGAATATGTTTGGAATGGATCTGGAACACAGTTTAAATGATGGGAAATTGGTTAAAATAATCTTTGTGAAGATATTTGTGAAACGGTCTGGAACATATTCCTGAAATGATCTGGAATATGTTTGGAAAGGATCTGGAATATATTAGGAAAGGATCTGAAACATATTTGGAAAGAATCTAAAACATATATAGGAAGGATCTGGAACATGTTTGGAAAGAATCTGGAATATGTTTGGAAAGTATAAGAAACATGTTTGGAAATGATCTGAAGCATGTTTGGAAAGGATCTTAAATATGTTAGGAAAGGGTCTGGAACATGTTCTGAAAGGATCTGGAATATATTTGGAAAGAATCGGAAACATTTGGAAATGATCTGAAACATGTTTGGAAAGGATCTGGAACATGTTTGGAAAGGATCTGGAATATGTTTGGAAACACAGTTTAAATGATGGGAAATTGGTTAAAATGATCTTTGTGAAGATATTTGTGAAAAAGTCTGAAGCTCCTGTGGAAAGAATCTAAATCACATATGGGAAAGATCTGGAATCGATTAGAATAAATCTGGAACGTCTGGCTCATGCACGTAAAGGATCTGTAATTTATTAGAACGGATCTGGAATATGTGTGGAAAGGATCACCTTCATAAATGGAAAAAATGATGAACACTTTTGGAAATGATCTGGAATTGTTTGGAATAGAGGTTCTGGAACACAGGCGAAAATGATCTGGAAATTTTGGAAAGGATCTTCAACATCTCTAAAAATTGCGGAATTCAATTAGTACTAATGATAATGCTAACATAATTCTTAAAAATGCTTTTAAAAAAGGAAAAAAATCTCAAGAAGGACAATAAAAATAATGAAAATGAGGATAGAAATTTACAATAATGTTGAAAATAAATAAAATGATTGCGTAAAATTGCAAGAAAGAAACAGAAATCTTAGCAGCGTTTGGAATGATTATTATAAAGCCTTTCATATTTACTCTTGGATCCTTAAGTATTTAGAATTGCACAAAGTTTCCTCGATGATCGTAAATTTCATTAAATATCGAATGGATCAGGAAAACCACATTGGTAACAATTTTTTGCGTACAGAAATTAATTCTTGTTTTCACTGTTTGCTAACAAACAACGATCTTAGAGCTTACAGCTACACCGATCACCAACGTTAAGTCGAGCTTGGTCAGTACCTAAATGGGTTACCAATTGGGAATATCAGATGCTGTAAACTTTGATGTGTGTCGGGTGTAATGGAATTGAGACATCAGAGAGTCGGGTTTCGATTCCAGCCGGGTTCGTTACATTCACTTACATTCAAATATCCTTAGGTAATCATGAATCGAAACGAGACAGGATCATCCAAGCGTATCGCATCCTCCCCTATCAACACGCATTGGGCCAGCGCGGTAAGGTAATCATTCATTCCTCACCATGAATTTGGACAACGCCTCCGTCCAACAATGGGGGAGAAGATAACAATCTTCCAGAATATTCATTTTTTTTTAAAATTGTTTTTCTTTTTAGAAAAAAATAAGAAATTTATTTTCATTGTCCATTTATTTGAGTTATCGCGGGTTTGAACTATTATTATTAAATGTTTTGTCGCAATTATTTTATTGTTGACGATTATTTTAGTTTAGTTTTAATTCCTATGACGTTCACTCTGTACAAGGCCCGGGAGCCACTCTTGACAGAGGGTTACAGAATAAAAGGCATAGTTTTAGTGAATATGATAACGGTTAACCCTAGATTTGAACAGGTTAAGATTATTGTGGTCGGAGTAGCATCCTCTTGGGAGTAGTTTCCACAGATCAGCAACTTCGTAGGAAAACCAATTGAATATAAAGGGAATGAGGGTGATTCGCTACACTGGGTGTGGCATGGCGGATCCTAGACGTGAAGGTAAGAACTGGTGGAACTAAGGAATGTGGTTAGTCTGAACACATTAATCGAGCGGATTACTATTCTTTTTAATACTTATATTTCTAGCATATTAGCACACTGTTATTGCAGGACGGGGACACTAAAGTCAAGCAGACGCGGAAGTTTAAGTATCTGGGAGGTGTTTTGACGGAGGACTGTAAGTGCGACGCTGAGATCCGAAGACGTAAAGGAATGGCCAAGGATGCATTTCAAAAGCTGGACATAGTACAAAGAAAACAGTACTGCGCTGCTACGTGACATCTGTCCTCCTATATGGCAGCGAATGTTGGACGGTCTCCTCAAAGATGAAGAAGAAACTCGAGGCATCGGAGATGTGGTTCTACAGAAGGATGTTAAGGATATTATGGAGCGATTGTGTGAGCAACGATGAGCTCTTGAAGACGATGCAAACAAGCAGGAAGCTTTTACTTAACATAAGGAAGAGGCAGCTGAAATTTCTGGGACACGTAATGAGAAAGGAGGGCTTGGAGAATCTGATACGCACAGGTCGAATAGAGGGAAAGAAAGATAAGGGAAAGCAACGCATGACATACATGGAGGGCTTAAGCAAATGGATGACAGAACATGGTCTGAATGAGGTGGCAGAGGGAAGAAACTTATTGAGAGCCATAAGGGATAGAGGGAAGTGGTCGCCTACGTTCTGAAAGGACACGGCACATAAAGGTCAAATAGAGGGAAAGGGAGATGGCATACCTGGTGGGCTTAAGCAAGTCGATGATAGATGGTCTGGGGCAGGTAGCAGAGGGATAAAACTTATTGAGAGCTACAAGGGATAGGAGGAAGTGGAGAGCCATGATCCCCTACATCCTGAAGGGACATGGCACATGAAGGTCAAATAGAGGAAAAGAGATACAAGGGAAAGCAAATGGATGACAGAACATTGTCCAGGGAGGTGGCAGAGGGACGAAACATTGAGAGCTACAAGGGATAGGGAGGAAGTGGAGAGCCATGATCCCCTACATCCTGAAAGAATACAGCAAATAAAAATAAAAAAAAAGTAGAAATACTTCCAGATCGTAAATATTTGTTCTATCTGTTTTACATACCGAAAATTTATGAATAATTTTGACATAAAATGTAAAATCTTTCAACGCTTTAGTTCAGATTTCATTTTTAAATTTGTTCCATTGATGTTATTAAAAGATGAACGGGGTTCACGACAACAGAAGATGGTGATTTTTTGAAGTTGTCAGGGAACCAAGTAAACGGAAGGGAGTTCCGCTGTCTTGTTGTGTGAGAAAAGAAACTGATGGAGTAGAAGTGGTGGTTACATTTAACTATTTCAACAGTAAAAGAGTGGGACCTAAATGCCAATCTAGTAGCACGCTTAAATTCATGTAGTCAGGGCACCGGGGGAAAAAAGCTCGTCAGAGCATCTGCCATGAAAATATTTGTACAAATGACATAGGTAAAGCCACATCACGCCTGTGAGAAAGTGACTGAAGCCGAGATGCAAGGACAGGATTGATTACATTGCAGATCCTTCTTTGGATTTTGTCAAAAACCTCGAGATGAATAACAGGAGCACCAGACCATATATGACAGCAGGATTCAATGCACTGCCAAATGTAAGTGTTTGGATTGATTCCAAAGTAATCTTACAGAGAGATTAGAAGAATTGGAACTCCAAAGAAGGATTGAAACGTTACGGACAAGCAGTTTTATTCAAGTCAAAAACACTGAGTAGAGTGTGGGATTAGTCAGGAGATATGCTGTCACTTGATCTGCAATGAAAATCACTAGACGCGGAAGGTACGAACATCGACAGAAAAAAATACTAATACGATGATTAATTAAAAGGATAGGAAATTTTTAAAAAAATCGAATAATCGAGAAGAGAAAAAAAGTTGCGGACACAGGGATGATCCGAAGAGGTGGAGCAGGTGAATTTCAGAAAAAGTGGTTTAAATTCTCCGGACATCTATATTTTTACAAATGGATTTGGGATTCAGAAAGATATTTATTGAAACATAAAATT